AAAGAAATTAAAGGGGTACAGATTGGAAAAGAAGAACTTAAATTAGTACTATTTGCCAATGATAATATTCTATACTTAGAAGACCCAAAAATCCCACTAGAAAACTTCAAGAACTCATAAATGAATTCAGTGAAGTATCAGGATATAAAATCAACACCCGTAAATCAAAGGCATTTCTGTATATCAGTGACAAATCCTCTGAAAGGGAAATGTGAAAAACTATCCCATTTACTATATCCTCAAAAAAATAAAATAAAATAAAAAATAAAATTCTTGGGAATCAACTTAATGAAAGAGGTGAAAGACCTCTACAATGAAAACTATAGAACTCTAAAGAAAGAAATTAAACAACACCTTAGAAGATGGAAAGGTCTACCTTGCTTTTGGATAGGTATTATTAATATTGTCAAAATGACCATACTACCAAAAGCACTATGCAGGTTTAATGTAATTCCAATCAAAATCCCAATGACATTCCTCATCACAGAAATAGAGCCAGCAGTCATAAAAATTCACCTGGAAAAATAATAGATCCAGAATAGCTAAAGCAATCCTTAGCAAGAAGAGTGAAACAGGTAGCATCAGTATACCGACCTTAAGCTATACTACAGAGCAATAGTTCTAAAACAACATGTTATTGGCACTAAAATAGACTTATAGACCAATGGTACAGAATAGAGGACACAGAGACAAAACCACATAACTACATTTATCTTATATTAGACAAAGGTGCCAAAAATATACATTGGAGAAAAGATAGCCTCTTCAACAAATGGTGCTGGGAAAACTGGAATCCATATTGCAAGAAAATGAAATTAAACTCCTATCTCTCAACTCACAAAACTCAACTCAAAGTGGATCAAGGACCTAAAAATTAAACCAGAGACACTGTGCCTAATAGAAAAAAAGTAGGCCCAAATCTCCATCATGTCAGATTAGGCCCTGACTTCCTTAATAAGACTCCTATAGTTCAAGAATTAAAATCAAGAATCAATAAATGGGATGGATTCAAACTCAAAAGCTTTTTCTCAGCAAACAAAACAATCAGTGAAGTGAAAAGAGAGCCTACATTTTGGAAGCAAATTCTTAACCACTTGCTCATCAGATAGAGCACTAATCTTTAGGGTATATAAAGAACTCAAAAATCTTAACCAAAAAAACAAATAACCCAATCAATAAATGGGCCAAGAAACTGAACAGAGACTTCTTAAAAGATGATATACAATCAATCAACAAATATATGAAAAAATGTTCAATATCTCTAGCAATTAGAGAAGTACAAATCATCTCACTCCAGTCAGAATGGCAGCTAATAAAAATACAAATAACAATAAATGCTGGCAAGGATGTGTGGAAATAGGCACTCTCATACATTGCTGGTGGGACTGCAAATTAGTGCAACTAATATGGAAACCAGTATAGAGATTCTGTGGGAAACTGGGAATGGAACCACCATTTGACCCAGCTATCCCACTCCTCAGTGTATACCCAAAAGATTTAAAAACAGTATACTACAGGGACACAGCTACATCAATGTTGATAGCAGCACAATTCACAATAGCTAAACTGTGGAACCAAACTAGATGCTCTTCAGTTTTTGAGTGGATAATGAAAATGTGGTATATTTACACAGTGGAATACTATTCAGCATTAAAAGAGAATAAAATCATAGCATTTGCAGGTAAATGGATGGAGTTGGAGAATATAATATTAAGTGAAGTTAGCCAATCCCAAAACACCAAATACCAAATATTTCCTCTGATGTAGATGCTGATTCATAGTGGGGTTCGATGTAGAGCATGGGTGGATTAGATGAACTCTAGATAGAGCAAAAGGGAGGGAGGGGAAAGGGGGTGGGGTAGGAAAGATGGTAGAATGAAGGGGGCATAATTACCCTAAGTATAAGTATGAAGACATGAATGGTGTGACTCTACTTTGTGTAAAATCAGAGATATGAATAATTGTGCTCTATATGTGTAATATGAATTTTAATGCATTCTGCTGTCATACATGACAAATGAAAATACTAAAAAAAAGAAAGAGTAGAGGTGAAATGATTGGGTTGTCAGAGTTTTAGCCTAATCAGTATGTTAATCCCCTGATAGGTGTTAATGATGGTAACTGTAAGCAGATAGGGTATGGCTGGGGAAGTGCCTTTGGTGTTTATATTTTGTCAATGATAAAGGGAGTGGGCTCTCTCTGCTTCCTGGTGGCCATGTCCTGAGATACTTTGCTCCATCACAGTCCTCTGTCATGATGTTCTGCCTTATCGTGGGCCTACAGCAGTGCAGTTGGCCATCTATGAACTGAGACCTCTAAAACCGTGAGACTCAAATAAACTTTGCCTCCTCTAAAATTGTTCTTTTGAGGTCTTTTGGTCACACCAATGAAAAAGATGATAGAAACAGTAGGGAAAACCTACTAGAGCTGGCAGGACTCACTGAGTTGAGGAGATAATGTTGGGAGTCCAAGAAATGTAAAGAACCTAGGATTTGAAAGGCATGGTGACAAAAAAAAAATGTTACACATAGATATTTAGGAAATCAAATGATAGAGCCATAGTAAACAAAGAATCCTGATAGACTCAAATCAAGACTTAAAAAAAAATAGAGAATGTAAGTCCTCAATAACTGCACAATGAAAATCTGTAGAGGGTCTCACTCAAACATTTAATTGAATATATGGGAGGAAATAGGGTCCTGGAAGAAATAGAAGCAATGGTGTCTATAGTTCATAATGGCTGTGAAAAATATCTTATCTGATTTCCAGGGAGGAAAACTTATAAATGACTAGGCACTGATTAGAATACCAAGAATTGTCTTGCCTAAATTGAGGAATGAAGAAATTTAATCCTAAAATCCTGGAACGAATGTGGCATTAAGCCCACCCAAGAAAGTTTAAAGCCCAGACCAAAAGGATCAGAATGCTTCTAGGTAACTTGATCATGTACTATGAAAAGTCTTTATAATATGTAAACAGTAATTTAAAATCCATTATCTAAAAAATTTAAATGCATGATTCATAACTCTAAACAAAAATTGAAAGCACATAGAGAAAAAATATATAACCTATATTAACCATAGTTATAATCGAATTAAGAAACCAGAGAGCTAATTAATTAGTAGTCAGAAATATAAAAATATTTATCATGATTTTATTTCATATGTTAAAGAAATTAAGCAAAACACTGAGTATGTTAAATAGAAACCTGTGTTTAAAAAAACAAAAATTCTATTTTTGGAAAAGAAAAACTAAAAATACATGGGATTAGATTTACTAAAAATGGAACATAGTTTAAAAAAAGATAGTAAACTTGAAGACATAGCAAAAGATTCAATGTATAATGTAATGAAGAAAGTAAAATACAAAAAATAACTAAAGTAATTCAAGGAGCCAAGTATATACGTAAGAATAGCATTCAATAGATGAATATCATGCATGAAGCATAGACCAATATCATTTGGTTAGTTTTGTCCATGAATCTCACTATTTTGTATAACTATGACGAACCAATAAAAAAAATAGTAGTGCTCAAATGATAATAAGCTAAAGTGGAGGTGAAAATGTATTTGAAGAAGTAATGGTGAAAAATTTTATATGAATATATGAATATAAGAAGCTAAATGTTCTGTAATCACCAGAAACATGAAGACAATTGCATCAAGACACATCATAATCAAATTTCTTATCTCTTTTGATGAATAGAAGAAATAATGGCAACAGGAAAAAAAGTGACATGTACAGAGAGATAAGGACAAAGATGAAAGCAGTCTTTTTGTAAGCAATTATGCAAAGCAGAAGACAGCTGAGCAGTAGCTTTAAAATACTTAGAAAACTTATCAGAGTCTAGATTGCTTTACCATGAAGAACAATAACACCTATGGTGAGTGACTTGATGTAAATCTCATCACTGTTGAATAGCAGGAAACCTGTGAAATTGACCAACATCCTTGTTAGTGAATAGAAAAACATCTAAAAAGAACCAATACAAATATTTAAAAAGAAAAACTCAGCAGTTGTTACACATCAGATGTTAACCAAAGATGATTTCTCAAAAATTTACCTGGCCCAATTCTGAAAGAAAGTGCTTCTGCTGGTCTCCATTAAGAAAAACTCCTGAAATGCTCAAAAATGAAGAGTTCCTGAGTTTCACTTTAGGACATTATTTCATAAAAAGCCAAAGTTGGCTGCAAAAAAAAAATAGGCCAAACAGTTTCAATGTAGAAAAAGAAATATTTTCGAAGTAAAAACAAAATGTGGCACAATGGCACACACTTGTAATCACAGCAGCTCAGGAGGCTGAGGCAGGAGGATCACGATTTCAAAGCCAGTCTCAGTAAAATAGAGACACTAAGCAACTCACTGAGACCCTATCTCTAAATAAAATACAAAAGATGGCTGGGATGTGGCTCAGTGGTGCCCCTGAGTTCAATCCCCAGTACCCTGGTAGCAAAACAAAACAAAACAAAAAATATGTTTTCCATGTCACATACATTGACATTTCTATGTCACATACATTGGTATGATGTATACTCAAAAAGCAAGTATTGCTAGGCACATGCCTATAATCCCAGGAGTTTGGGGGCTGAGGCAGGAGGATTGCAAGTTCAAAGCCAACCTTAGTAACTTAGCAAGGCCCTGAGGAACTTAAGGAGAATCTGTCTCAAAATTTAACATAATAAAGAGCTGGAGATATGGCTCAGTGGTTACATGCTCCTGAGTTAAATCCCTGGTACCAATATAAACAAACAAATATTTTTTTTTAAAAAAAGCAAGTATTATTTCAGAGAAAACTAGCTGGCCATCTAGGGTGTACTTTTGAAAAGGAGAAAAATGGTGAAATATAAATGCATCTGAAGGAAATTTAGTTTCAAACTTGGTGGTGTTGCTTAGCATACCACTAATATATATAATATCTGCTAAGAAATGCATAAACTTTTAGGTTATAATTTTAAAATACTCATTATCATTAAAGATAATGAATCAATGCTGGGAGAGTGGTAGTTGTGTTACTTTATAATCATAAAGCACAGGAGTTTTCTAATTATGACTCACAATGTAGAAGTAATAAATAAAAAGACTATAAAGTATACTTGACAATTTGAAAAAAAAAATCTGTAATGTTGTATGTAATGCCAGGAAGCCACCAGTTCTTCCTAAGAGAAAAATATAAGGCAATCCCAACACAAATACCAACATAATACTTTTGTTTTGCTGGAGTTAGATAAGTTAATTCTAAAGTTCACATGGGAGTATTAATAAGGAACAATAGCAAAGATATTCCTGGGGTGAATAAGATGGAGCAACAACAAAAGGAGCCTGATATAATATAAACATAGCGTTTTTATATATATCTAAACATAAAGCCTTTATATATTAGACAGTGTTGTAATGGCACTGGGAGATAACAAAATAGCAATGGACTAAAACATGTAATCAGGTACATGTGGAATTTAGCATATAATAAAGATAATGAATCAATGCTGGGAGAGTGGTAGTTGTGTTACTTTATAATCATAAAGCACAGGAGTTTTCTAATTATGACTCACAATGTAGAAGTAATAAATAAAAAGACTATAAAGTCAGCTCTGGGAAATTGAAATACTTCTGTTTAGAGTAGTATAATCATAATTAAAGTCAATAGGCAAACATAAAACTTGGGAATAAACCTGAGAAAATCGGGCAACAGTACTTACAGTTTACAAAAAGCAAACACAATGGCCCTGAAACAGATGAAAGTATAGTCTATCTTCTGAAGAAGATCAGTTATCCATATTCAGAGATGTACTTATCTATTTGACCTTTCAGGATAGAAATATGAAAATTACAAATATGAGATAACTTATACATGTTTGTTGAAATTTTCAATACAAAGGAATTTACAATATCAACAGACAACTGAATCAATGTTGATAATTGACCTCTTGGCTAAAATCGAGGAAAATCATTCACATGTTCTGTTGAACAGAGAGTCATGCTAGCTGGAATCTAGAGAAACTTCAGTCCCTGCTTCTAAATCCCAACTCCCAGTCCTATAGGAGAACCAACCAGTTATCACCTAGCAGTCCTTTCAAGTTACTAAGCCACAAATGAATTAATCCACTATTGAGGTTGTAATGTTGTCATCTCACCTCTGAATATTGCTGAATTGAACTTTGAAGGGAGACATTTCAAATCCAAATCATTATAGGAACACATATTTCTAAAATTTCTATCTTCAGTCAGAAATTTCTGTCTACAATAGAAAAAAGTATGCAATATTAACATAATAAAAGGTTTAAACATAAACAACATTGTAATATAGAAACTTATGTAGGTGGAATCAATTTTGAACATGTAAAAATCATTATAGAGCTATCTTTGCCTAAGTATATTTCACAGATAATTGTCTGTATTTAAGTCATTCTGAGGTAGCCATTATACAATGTAGTAGATTTTAAAAACTATACTTTATACTGTGCTATTAGTTACACTAAAATTAAGGAAGAAAGAAAACAAGCATGAGAAAGATTTTATGTCTCAGAAAGGCATGTGTATACATACAGTTTTATAGCTAAATCAGAAAATTCAAGGTTAATAAACCCCATAGTAATATTGTAATTATTCGTCATCATATTGTAAAAAAAAGAATAATAAAGATAATTTCCAAAAATGATATTAATTGCATAAAATTTTTATTTCACTGTATCCTTGGTAAAATTCATCATGGACCTTATCATTATATATCCATTTTCAGAAAATAAGAAGCTTTCCTTCAGACACTAAAGATCAGTTAGTACAGGATAAAGTTAATATATATGTAGAATTTTATTTAATAATGAATGAGACTTCCAAACCTAATTTTTTTCATATATAATTAGTTTCAAATGAGCTGTATTAAAATTGAAACTGAAGAAAAAGTATTTCAAGCATCTATTTTGTACCAAGTCCCTGACTAACTCATTTCACATGTGCAACTTGGATTCAATAAAGCATTGTAAAGGCTTTGAAATTTGACCTGACATATATACCATCACCTATATTAAACCATATAATATTCTCTGAACTTAGCAAGACAGATCACATGCAAACAGATAAACATTCACTATAAGATTTTCACAGCATAAACATCTACATCGTTATATTAAAAATACTCCAACATATTGGCATAAGCACCAACTTTCTTAACAAGAAGACCCTTAAAGCTAAGAAATGGAACTAAGAATCAATAAATGGGACAGCATTAAATGTAAAAGCTTCTTAGAGCAAAGGTAACAATTAAGAGCATGAAGGTAGAGCCTATAGAATGGGAGAAAATTTTTGCCAGCTACTCCTCTGACAGAGGATTAATGTTCAGAATTAATGCCAGAATTAAAACAAACAAACAAACAGTCTAACACCAAAAATAAACAAATAATCAATAAGTGGGCAAAATAACTAAATAGACATTTCTTAAAAGAAGAAATACAAATAGTCAACAAATATATAAAAATTGTTCAACATCCCTAGTAATCAGGGAAATGCAAATCAAAATCTCTGTGAGATTTCATCTTACTCCAGTTAGAATGGCAATCATCAGGAATACAATTAATAACAAATGCTGATAATAATGTGAGAGAAAAGGGTACACTCATTCATTGTTGATTAAACCTCAATTTAGTGCAATCAAGTTGTATGGAGATCCCTTAAAACAGAAGGAATGGAAGCACCATATGACTCACTGCCCCACTCCTTGGTATATATCAAAAAGAACTAAAATCATCTTACTGTAGTGATAGAGGCAAATCAACATTTATAGCAGAGCAATTCACAATAGCTAAGTTATGGATCCAGCCCAGGTACCTGTTAACAGGTGAAGATGGATCAACAAAATGTGGTATATATGCACAATAGAGTCTTAGCCATAAAGAAGAATGAAATAGTGGCATTTGCTGATAAATGGAGGAAGTAAGAGAACATCATACAAAATGAAATAAGTGATATTCAGATGGTCAAAGTCAATGGTTTTATCTTTCATGCTGAAACTAGAAGAAAATAAGGGAGAAAATGTGGAGGCGACCCCCAAAATATAGAAGGGAAAACAATGGAATATAGAAAGGGAATAGAGGGGGAAGGAGGAGAGATGGGAAAATGGAGGAACTACAGAGTGAAAATGACCAATTATGCTATGAACATGTATGAATATACTATAGAGAATTTCACTTTTATGTATATATATGAAGCACCAATTTAAAAGCAATAAATAAATAAATAGAAGAAAGGACAATAGAACAGAGGTAGAAAAGGAGAAAAAGGAAGTACTGGAGGCTAAAATGAAGCAAATTATATTTTATGCATATAATTATGTCAAAATGAATCCCAGTATTATGTATAAGATACTGAATTAATAAAATCATTTAAAATAAACAAAATATTTATGTGGAAATATTAAAGAATTTAAACAATATTATGTTTAAGTATACTGAACTAAAATCATTTAAAAATAAATAAAATTTATATAGACATATTGAAGAATTAAAATAGCTAAAACAATATTAAAAAGGAAACACTCAGTTGGAGGTATTATAATACCATATTTTAGACTTATTAATTACATACAATAGTCAATATAGTATAAAATGGCAGAGAGATGAAGATATATATATATATATCAGTAGAAAAGAGTAGGAAACCCAGAAATACATGCACACAAATGCATTTATTTTTTACTGAGGTTACAAAAGCAATTCAATGAAGGAAGACTAGACTCTTTTATTGGTGCTGGAAAACAGTTGAACCATGTAGTGGCTATAAATAAGTAAACTCATAAACAACTTATACAAAAATTAAGTCCAAATGTATGTTAAGTATAAAAGCAAAATATAAAGCTATGTAATTGTTATAAGTGAACATAGTATAAAATCTTTAGATCTACAATTAGACAGTAAGTTCTTAGATATGACATTAACCTTACTATCTGTAGTAGAAACCAATGATGTATTGGTTTCCTGAAAATTGAAAACATTTTCTTTGTCCAAGACCTTGTTAAAAGGATGAAAAGGTGATCAATCATTTGGGAAAAATATTTGCCTATTACATTTCTAATAAATAACTCATACCCAGAACACATAAAGTATTCCTATGCAATAAGAAAACAATATAATTTCAAAATGAGCAAAAGATTTTAAAATATATTTTATAAAAGAAGATATATAGATCATGAATAATCAATGAAAAGACATTAATAAAATGCTAATTAAAAATTTGAGATACCACTGCATAACTAATAAAATTAATTAAAATGTAAACAAATATCCAAACCATGAAATGTTAGTGAGGAGGCAGGGAAATTATTTCTCACATTTGTGAGAATATAAAATACAAAGGCAGCAAACAATGAAAATCTTCCTGAGTATTTTTTAAGAAATTAAATATGCACTTGACATATAGCCAAACAATGAAACTTGTTCATCCTACATAATATAATGAACTTATGTTTCATAAAAATCTGTACATTTATGTCATAGAATCATTGTAATCATCAATAACTTGTAATGAATCAAATGCTCCAGATGCCTCTGTGTAATGTTAAAATGTTTATATTTTTTTTATGACATGTGAAATATTATTTAGCAGTAAAAGGAATAAGGTATTTGGATTCACAACACCTTGTATGTATCTTACTGAAGTTATGTTTTGTTGAAAAGACAATCTCAACATATTCATATAGCAAGTGATTCTGTTTATATTGCATTTCTAAAGTGAAAATAAGCTGAAGAATTGATAAATGGTTACTAGAGTTTGGGAAGAGACAAAAAGGTATGACTCTAAGAATGTCATGAGGGAATTCCTGTATGGTGACAAGACAATTCTGCATCCTGCTTTCAGTAGTGAATACGCAAATGTATACAGGTGATATTATATCATAGATTATATACAATAACATATACAAAGTAAGTGGGTGAAATCAAGAAAAGGCTACCTAATTAGTTTGTGGCATTGTTCTAATCAACTCCTTTTTTGATAATTATGGATTATAATTATATTGGGGGAAGCTAGTCATGGATATATGAAACTTCTCTGGATTGTTTTGACAATTTTTGTGAGTCTATAAATTAAAATTAAAATGTTGTTTCCAAAGTTGAGCAAATCTCAACTAAGAATTAACTAAAAAATAAAAGATTAAAAATTATGCCCAGACATATCAAAATCAAACTGCTAAAAATCAAAGGTAAACAGTCTTAAAGTTAAAAATATGTTAAAAATTTATTGAGTAATTATTTCTACTACATATTGTATGAGATATTTTTACCTGTGTCTTATTACCATGACAAAATAGTATCATTTCAAATACTATAGTTTTCATTTTCAAGACAAGACAACTGACTCAGAATAGAAATGTGCTTAATGACAGGAAGGGATTTAAGCCCACAGGTGGCTATATTGAATTCTAATCATTTTGTTTTTATTTCTAAATATTCCTAATTCTCCATAATTGATCAAGGGCATATTATGTCCAATGAGCTTAAGTATATCTCTTATTGTTTCAGTATAGAGTCTAATGAATAAAATGTACACCTACTTTACGGTATTCATCATATAAAATTATAAGTATGGAAAAAATTACCTTGTTACATCGGGTAAAAAACAATGGTAACTAACTGAGGCTAACTGAGAGAAAAGAAAACTTTACTTTTAGAGGAGAGTTAATGAAACACAGCAATTAGGTATTTTTAAAAGAGAAACTGAAGTAAGGTCAGCTTCAAATGATCATAGACTCTACTTAGAATTCCAAATAAAAAATAACTCACTACTAACCACCACATTCTCTGACACTTCTGTTTCAATGTTCCAAGCTATCAGCATACATATATGTTTACCTCTAGATCAATTCTAAAACCAGGTAGTGAAGTAAGTTAAATAAACCAAGTATTTCTCACTTGGTTTATTTAACTTACTTGTTCTCACATGGGGTGGGAAGGTAGAAACTTCTCAGTGAAGGAAAAAGTACTAGGCAGATGAAAACAAAAGCAACTCCAATTCATTTTTTGGTGCCTTTGAGCTTGTGCCCACACAGGCACATAGACTTCATACAAATATATCCACAGAGAATGATAGCATATTGAAAAACTGAATGTTTCAAAATAAATAATATTTACATGCATAGTTGTTTCAACTATAATTCTGCAGCTTCAGCATTAATGATTTAAAAAATGTAACATTTACAACTTTTGGAGAATGTCACTTGGAAAACAGATGTATTAGATCCTCTGCAGCTGCTCCAAATTAACCCTGGTAAGGAAGTGGTGCCCAGTTCTTAAGAGGAATATACAGGAGAGTAATGAGGAATCTCAGGAACACTAGGGACCTATCACCCAGTGCAAAGACTTTCCTGCCACTGTTAGGCTCCCTCAGGGGTTAGAAGACTCTAAAATAGTTCTGTGATTGCCTTTTATAGAAAACTATAGAAGGAGAGATCTGAGTACTGTGGGAAGCCAACTTTAATGCCTAGGGCTATAAGAAGTTGAACACAAGATTGATGAAAAGTTGATATGACTTTTGGGGAATAGAGGGCTAATAACAGAGGACTTTAAAGGATATTCTGATTTCACTTCTCACTTAGAGTTTGAATTCTGTCTCCTCGTATTTCTTTTTTTAATATTTTTTAGTTATACATGGGCACAATATCTTTATTTTGTTTATTTATTTTTATGTGATGCTGAGGATCAAACCCAGGGTCTCACACATGAGAGGTGAGTGTTCTACCCATGAGCCACAACCCCAGCCCCTTATATTTCTTTATTTCATTTTTTTTAGGCTTGAACATCTGGCTATGAAGATCTGGTACATTTATAAAAGATCAGCCTTGCCTTGCTGCTGTAGGAGTTAGAAATTTTGCTGTCCTCAGGTCAGACTGTAGCATGCTTGATGTGATCATTTAAAATCTTCAGGCCAGTGGCCCTATGTTGCTGTGAGAAAAGCTAAACACAGGAGGGAATCCATTCAGCAAGGAAGGCAGCTTTCCTTAATGGAGTGAAAAGTTCTCAGCCAATTTCCAAATTTCTGCCAGATGAGAAAATTCTAGACAATTTCCAGTTTTCATTCTGTCTATGACTTTTGAAATATTTTTGAAAAAAATATTTTTGAAAGATAATTCTTTCATTTATCCAATAACTAGAAAATAACATAATCTCAGTTATCGCAGTGTGAAGCTAGCTTTGCAAAGTCTTTGCAGTTTTGTCCCTGTTTATCTCTTCTTTGCTAGTTGCTTAGAACCACACTTTATACTGGGACAAAAAGAAAAAAATGTGAGAATCATGAAATTTCATAAAAGGTTATGAAGGACCTCCAGGAAGAAAACCACATAAAAAATTGTCAAAAATGGTTCACAACAGAAGGGCAGTCTTTATTTTCCCCTTCCCCACTGACACCTTTGAGTTTAAATTTCTAGTACATACCATGGAAAACTTTTCCCAGGAGGCAAATCAAAAAGCATTAATTAGTTTATTGCAGGCTTTTGAATAGTGGAAAATTTTGCAGAGTCTCCTCCCAGGCATGAAAAGCATAAAAGGAGACAAGGAATCTCTATCCCAACCCAGAAGGGCATGCATATCAATCCTTCCTCAGAGGCAAGGCTGTCTCTTCCTTGTCCTATGCCTCTTGGGAAGAACCCAGGCTAAAGAACAAACCTAGAGGAGGGGTAAGACAAGATAATACAAATGGAAGAAATGATTTACAGTAGAAGGGGTAGAGAGAGAAAAGGGGAGGGGAGGGGAGGGGGGATAGTAGAGAATAGGACTGACAGCAGAATACATCAGACACTAGAAAGGCAATATGTCAATCAATGGAAGGGTAACTGATGTGATACAGCAATCTGTATACGGGGTAAAGTTGGGAGTTCATAACCCACTTGAATCAAACTGTGAAATATGATGTATTAAGAACTGTGTAAGGTTTTGAATGACCAACAATAAAAAAAAAAAGAACAAACCTAGAGGGGCTGTGATCCTCATTACTCTTGATTTGTCTAGGGATGGTGGGCTCAATCTTCTCTGTTTTGCTGAACTAGACAGGTCTTTGTTCTGCCTTCAGAAGTCATATATAGGACACATCCTTACTTTGTCCTCAGAAAGTGTGCACTTATTGTATGTATTTTTTGAAGGAAATTTCTCACCTTAGGAAGTATTTCTGGAGAAGTTTCCTGCTATGGGCCCTACATTTTCTTACAACTCCAAATTTTGGGGTATAGACCTATCTCTGGAATCTTATCTCTTATAGAGTTCAGAGCACTGCAGTTTCAACTTCAAATAAGTCTCCGTCTTCTCTACTCCATTGAGAAGATGACACACTGGTATTCATTGTTCTTTCATTTGCCTGAAGACATTTTTGTTCTTTCACTTAGTGTGGTCTATCTTCTCTTTCCTTCTGCGAACAATTACTAAAAGTAGTTTTTTCTACACTTTTGGTGATGTTATATTGGTGGTGGTTTGCTTGTGGTGGTGGCATTTGTGAATAAACATAGGTATAATGTCAATTTAGAAAGTGAAGTTCTAGAAGTCTAATTTACTTTCTCTTTTTAAAGGCTGAAAATAATATGTTTATTCACATGAGGATATCCTCATGTTTCAATATTTTTCCTTATTTGGTTTGAAGTCATTACCTTGATTTTTCTCTTCTACCATCTTTCCTTTTTTCTTTTTTTCCTTCTGCTCCTTAGGAAGATGAACACAAGAAAGAAATATGGCAACTAAAGCCCTTTTTGACCACATGTTCCATATGATCTTGAAGGATATCCAAGCTGGAAAAGACTCAGCAACAACCCACACACCTAAAGGTGCAGTATTCATGGCCACAGCCATTCTGATGTTTTGTCACTGTAACTCCCCTCCAGAGACTGAAGCTCTGCCAGGCTGTCAGCCTCCTCCCTTTCCTCTTGGGCTGCTGAACTCACTATCAGTTGGGAGCTCTTTAGTAAACACATGAGAGGGGTTTACCTTTTCAGGGATCTTTTCAAGAAAGAAAATTGTTTCTATTTATTTCTTTGAGGGAGACTTCATATGTGTGTGTGTGTGTGTGTGTGTGTGTGTGTGTGTGTGTGTGTAGCTGTGTCTGTATATGAAGATGTACTTATGTATATCTGAAGACAGGGACAAAGGTATAGAAGTAAATATGGATAGATGATTGGTAGCTAGCTAGTTAAAGATAAGAATTCTTTGAGAGTTCTCTAGGAACTGGGCAAGATGCTGTTAATTATTCAACTTCACCTCTCCTCTACCCCATATCTACTCTGTGAATGAGCTTGTCTGCAGAGATGGCACAGAAGATGTGTTCTGAATCTGAGTCTTCTGTTGTATGTCTGTAGCCTTGGTCCATCCCATAAGGTACACACTGTGGAGTGGATTAATCAAAGTCTTAAGATTCCAGAAGATGAGAGAGAATCAAATAGATGGCATTATTTTGCATTAAGCATTATTGAAAAATACCATGTGCAATAACACACATGGTACTTGTCCACAGGAAGATTATATTCTAGGTATATGAAAATATATTTTGGAATTATATATCTTGGTGGGGGAGCATGACCCAGAATTAGCATGTGTGGTTTTATGCAGAGACACAAAATGTTTCCTGGCACGCGGAAGGTGTCATATAATTTGTCATCTAATATGAAGAATAAATTTGGTACAGGTGTATAGGTAAAATGCTTTGGCTTTTCACCTATAGATTACCATATAATAGTTCTGCATATTCCTCAAAGAGTTAAAATTAGTGAGAAAGAACACAGTGACTTAATCCTCTTGCTCACTGCAACATCTTCCAAAGATTTGCTCTTATGATTCCTGTTGCCAGAGCTGTGCAACATCAAGGGCTTGTGAGTAGTAGTGGATACTGAGCTTCAATAGGAGGCTCCACTGGGGTCTCTGCAACTGGCTCCAGGCTGCACCTCTAGCACTGGTCCAAGCTTTCTCTGGGGTGCCTACTTACACTCATCTGGCACAGCTCTCACTTCACCCTCTCAGTAGTGGCACCTTTCTCAGACCCATACAGTGTCTCCTACCCATTCAGCATTCTAAGTTATTCATCTCTACTCGTCACACTCAGAGTTGATCTTGGAACATTCCCAACTTAAAGCATACATTCTGGGTGGTGGATTTTTTCCTAGCATAATTTGTGTCCTTGCAAATCAACTTTATGATTCAAAATATATTATGAAAATCCCTATTTTTGCTTATTTCTTATTTTCTTTTCATCTGTATTTCTAATGGAAAAGTTCAAACCATCAAATTCACAAGTTTTATTTAATAGCAAATTCTAATTCTTGATAAAATAACTCAAACATTTTTTTGCTTCAAAATTTATAATTTTACAAGGGAATTTTTATTCTAAAATGTATTTTTTTAGTTGTAGATGGACATAATAATTTTTATTTATTTATTTATTTTTATTTGGTTCTGAGGATTGAACCCAGTGCCTCATACATGCTAGGCAAGCACTCTACCACTGAGCTATAACTCCAATCTTTAATTTTTTAAAATATCACTAGAGCATGTCTAATGCTTAATTTTGCTATAGAGATGGCAGAATTTAGTGTGTGGTATAATTTTTGCTGTGAATATGCCATGTTACTGTCATCTGGCCTATGTCTCTTTCTCTATCTCATATATACATTTATAATTCACATATGTTTATAAATTATAATATTTATATATTTATAAATATATATTTATATATGTATATAATTTTGCCATATTTATTAGTGAGTGTAGGGCTAAGATTCCCTTGTGTAGAAATATAGTGTGAGTATAATATCTCTGGATGACACTGCAGCACAGTTTGCTATATGTATAGGTATTTATTCTTCCATGAACTGTGTGAACTATAGTACTATAGTGTTGAAGGACAAATAGTTATATAATGGCTATTTGGTTTATATGAGACTGTGAACTCAGTAATTTTGTAAGATTTGTAATGACAACCAAAATGTTATAGAATGGCTGTGTGTGACATTATGTGAGATTCTAGATGTGGGCTATGTTAAAGGGACTAAGGAGCTTAGAAGCAAATCATCATGAAAATTTTATGCAATATTAATTGAAATACAGAGTTCTACCAATGTAGGATTATTTTTGTGAGTTCAAAAATATGGCTTGAAGTTAGGAGAGAGCAGATTTCAGTAATGCCTTCACTATGGAATGAGAATAGGAAGGTTTAGAGTGAGTGTCTGTATGTATCTGAGAGCATGAGAAAATGGGAGTAAGGAATAGAGAATGAAGGAATTAGTATTTATAGAGATAAACTTGAACATACCATACTAAGACTAGTTGGATGAGATGGAATAAAATTTCATGTTTGCTTATGGGTATAGGAGATTGTAAATGACCAGAGTTGGAGGACCCTATTCAAATCTGTTCCCCTTCCTTACCCATGAGGAGATATTAGTAAGGAACTTCACGAACCCTTCCTTCTGGATGGCAAAAAGAAAATCAATGATTCCTCTTAAATTCTTCAGTCTAATACATTTCTGATTGTCAGATAACTGCCACAATTACCAGTAGAGTTCAACTTCTCAGGTTTAGGCTGAGTGAGTCTTTTCCTTTGTTTTTGATAAAACTGTCATTTCTTTAGCTCTCATTCTTTTCCAAAATATCCTGTTCTTGAACTTGTAGACACTTCTTGTTTTTCAGATTTCCCTTGAACCTTGAGGTTTTGTTTTATAGATGGAGCAAGCATGTCCCAGAGGAAAAATAGAAGACATTGTGTTTTTGCTGTGATCTGGGCTTGAGGTGATTTACTTTATGGATGTACACAGGAGCACATACAAATATAATGAGAACAGTGTACAACAGTAAATGTAATGAAAATGTATACAAATAGTCACATTTGTATCCCTCCTTCTCTCTATTCACCCTCATATCCAGTTAAGCATCTTCACTTATGAGTATTCTTTTTTTAATATTTATTTTTTAGTTCTAAGTGGACACAGTATCTTTATTTTGTTTTTATGTGGTGCTAAGAATTGAACCCAGTGCATCACACATGCTAGGCGAGCGCACTACCACTTGAGCCACATCCCCAGCCCCACTTTATGAGTATTCTTGATCTTCAAGAATAAGTAGGAGAAATATTTTGAACTAAAAATATTTTTTTCTTATTTCTGAGGTATTTGAACAGACTATGTATGACTCTTACATTCTTATATTTTTGTTAAAATTTTTAATGGAAATTAAAGAGTTTTCACAATATTTCATTTACTAAGTCAAAAATGATTGCTCACTATGTGCCAAAGATTCACATGCAATACAGTTTATTTCAGGGGAAGCTCCAAAATATTTAACAATTTATAATTTCCAGTTATTCATGGCTAAACAATGTGTATATATTTTTCATTATGAAGCTGGTTGCAGTGCATACATCTATTTACTGTGCTGTCACATAGGGTGAAATCAATGTATTTAAATATTTATTATCTGACCATACATATGTCGTTGTGTTTGAAATATTTCATGATAATTGTAGAGGTTCAATGATATTCCTCCTAGCTGTTCATATCTTGATTCCTAAATTCATAAATGTTATGTTAATAAATGTTAATAAATATTATTAATTAAGTATCTTACATTGAAATTAGTCTGGGTTTTATGAGTGGATCCTAAGTATAGTCCTAAGGATACTAGTAAGAAGTTGGGCAGAAGGTAAAGGAAGGCAAAGAGATGTGATAATTATGTAAGAGGCCAAGAGCAGGAAAGAAGGAAAAATCGAAAAAAGGAAAAAGTTATGAAAAAGGTGTGTTATTCATAAGCAAGAAACATAAGAACTTTCTCATTGTGACTCAACAGCCAGAGTAGTAAATAAAAGGCTCATAAAGTCAGCTCTAGGAAATGGAAACACTTCTGTTTAGAAGACTATAACCATTATCAATGACAATAAGCAAACAAACAACTTGGGAATTAACCTGAGAAAATTTGGAAAAAGATACAGGTTACCACAAAGCAAACATAAATGGTCCTAAAATGTATGAAAGTATATTATATCTTACTAAGATTTTTAATAATTAAAACAACAGGTTTTTAACACTTCTGTGATTGGCAAAAATCTCAAAATTTGACAATATTTCTTATTGTGAGACTGATAAAATAAGTTATTACAGGTATCATTGGTGGGAATGCCTAATAGAACAACTTCTGAAGGTCAATTGCCCATAGCCATTATAGTCAAAGCGCTTATGTATTTGACTTTCCAGGATAGCAATCTGGAAATATACATTTATGAATATGAGATAACATAAAGAAGATTGTTGAAATTTATGAAATATATCAAATATAAAAACTTTGTAATGTCAACATATAATAAAATCAATGCTGATAATTGGCCTACCCATCTCTTCCTGCTAAAATCAAGCAAAATCATTCACATTTTCTGTTAACTGGAATCTAAAGAAAAACATCAGTCCCTGCTTCTAAATTCTAACCCCCAGTCTTATCTACTCATACAAAAGAGAACGAATATCTTATTGGTTTTTTTATGCACTTCTAGTTCATTAAATCACACATTTTCTCCCTATAATACATTAGAATGCAGGAAATAGGAACATTGGTAGCTGACCTTTTTGTCCCTCTTAGCCCTCCTTTTTCCAACACTACATTCCACTATTTGAATAGCAGAATCTATGTGCCCGTCTAAGTGTGTTAGGAGCTGTTCCTTATGCTACTTTATCTTTCTTCCTAAAATGGTATTCAGTCTCTCTTCCATAGATGAAATGATAATGACTGCAGCTTATGAGTAAAAGTGATATTGAGGTGACTGCATTATTTATTTATTTATTTATTT